TCAGTGAGTGGATGTTGGCATAATTTGTGTGTTTAATAAGATGCAACCATAATTTTATTAGGAATCGAATTTACATGTCAAGTGACTTGGCACTCACACTGGCCTCGTAAGAACATTATCAAATTATCTAAAACGCTATGTTCGTTCGTAGTTTCATTGAAACGTTTAATTTCTAAGCAGACATGGTACTTGTGTATTTTCAGTAGCTTTATGAAACCTTGTGTTAGTTAATCTCCCATTATCTGTTATCCATTTAATATTTTATTCAGCTGAATCTTAATTACTATGTTAAACTAGCAAAAAAACCTTTACACCTACTCCAAGTGCTCGAACACATGCAATTACATCAACGCGTTTTTTGCAGCTCTGCGAAACGTAGCATAATGATACCACGCCTGCGCCATAATTAGTCTGGCACGACTGTACCGAGTGTGCGACAGAGTGCAGAAACGACTTGGTAGAGTGGAATATCTTGTTATTACTATCTCTGGTAAATCCAGTAGCTTCCCCTCGGGATAGAAATCGATTGCCGCGAGCGCCAATCATACCGCCTGCTCATGGTGGCGGTCGATTCATTATTGCACTGAAGACGGCAACCGACCCAAACTAATGCGTAAGCAGAACATTGAAAGTAATACTTGTGAGATTTTAAGCTATTCACTTTTGAGTTGATGTCACACTTGTGATTTGTTCATGTGGTGTCTGTCAACCTCAATTCGTGGAATCTGTCATCGGGTCTGCAGCAGAAGGTTACAGTAAGTGAAATTTTGCAAAATGGGTTTGTTTAATGCCAGACGCCTCTCTCATATTGACAAGTTGCACTTCACTACCTACAGTACTCTGCAGCAGTTCAAACACCAACCAAATATTTCCCCACAATGCTTGACACTGTTTAAGCTGCACTGCCTGTGTTTGGTCAGATGCCAAAAGGCATTGAGGTAATGTATTGTGTGGTATTCTGCTAAGTACAAAGTTTTTGTGAAGTGAATATTTGTCGTTTTTCCACTACCAAACAGCCAGACCTGCTAAATCTCTGTTAGCTTGTCCTAACATCTCCACCGGGTACCTGAAATCGACGAAATCGCTTTCACCATAAAATGCAACATTTTCCACCACATATGTACCTGACTGACGTCTTGTGGTTATTTGCACACGCATCTCTGTGATCCAATTTTTTTCAGTTAGAAATACTTCGCCTGCACGTAGATATCACCAATTGACAGATTTCAACCGAATGTAGTTTAATACGGTACATTTTGCAAGGTTGCCGTGTAGTGCTTATATTCACTCACTGACTCTGCTACAAAACGTCATTTGGGCAGTCTGATGCACAAAAATCCGTCTTCGTTCCTGTCATCTGTATTGCCTCTCTTCTCAGGGTGCGTGGGGACTGTTAACTAGCAGGAATGCAGGACAGCGCTGACGATTTCACTGCTTCTTGTTACCCCATCAAACGAAATCCTTGAATGTAGGCTTCATTTATGGGTGATTTATGACAAAGTTGTAACAACCCTTTTTGCATTACCAATGACTGATAATAATGCTGTAAGTTCCGGTCCAGAAAAGCGCATTTTCGCCAGCTTTCAGTCACGTGCGTGAAAAACGCATTCTAGACCTCCACGTTCTCACATGTCGTTTCTCATTTAAACAGTGTCATTGGAAGACATCTACAAGTTGAAAGATCTTGTTCATGTACAAACAACCAGCTCGAACGAGGCGCGTAATCGAACCCGTCTCTCTGCTATTGCACCAGGTGACTGATTACCTTTCCAACCTCTCTGGCATATGAGCCATCTGGCCGGAGGTATCAAGGTCGATGACTCAATCCAGCGTCAATTATGGCCTCGATGCCTCCCGGTTAACACTAATGGCATAAATTTGATGCACCTCTCTGTCACAACATTAGAAACACGGGCCAACTTAATCGACGAATGCATCTTTCAAGAAGTATGGAACGAAGCCGTCGCCTCTGGCCATCTCGGCTTTGTCAGCAAAAACATTTTGTGCATTGTATTGTTAATAGGATTCTGAATCTGCATGATTCAAACCACAATGTCGTAAAGCAAAGTTAGGCCTTTTTGTGTTATTTAAATGACCAGTATTCAAAAGATTGCCTTATAAGAAAATGTTGCCTTCGGGATAATGGTAACATGCATGTTTGGACCGAAGAGACCACCTATTCGATTTTGACAAGTGCTGCAACATTTGAACTCAAACAGACGACTGGTGGTTAAGTGCACACGATTTGGTGCCAGTGAATTAATCAATCACAGGGTGTGTTGGGTGTGCCTGCTTGTGATCCACCTCAAGTGGCACAGCACACACTCTACGGGTCTTTTATTATCCAACCAATGAAATAAGCTAATCAGTTGTCTGTGCTGGTCGAAATGCATGATCTGCAAAGACTCGGCCGTTCTCTACATCCTAGTGAGTCAGGTTATCTGCAAACTAGTAAGGCTTAGCAAGTAGCACACAGTTAACTGCCACTGACGTTTAATTACAATCCCAAAATATGTCGTTTTTCTAATTCCGCAAACTATGATAGAACTGCTTTGCACAATTTAGTTCGATGTACTATCTAATTTTAAAACATTTTTGGTGCGGTTTTCGTGTCCGATAAATTACCATCGGCAAATATGTTGGCTTGAAAAATGTTGAGTGATAATTTGGAAAACGAATGACGGCACGACGGCAGTACCAGTACGTTGGAAATCGGGCTACGACTCAAGCGTGAAATGTCGCAGGCCATTTCTCCAGTTAGGTAATGCTATAAAAAAATTGGACTTCTCTAAGTGCTAGTCGAAAAAGCTATGAGTAGACAGTTATTCGGTTATCCACTTTACAAAACACATTTGTAGAAATGTAACACAAAGACATGTTTGCCGGAACGCGATACTTCACCTTTGACAATACACGTTCTGGTGGTATTTCGAGGTGACGGCAGTAGCCAGGTGTAACATATAATTGTTGACATTCTGACAGATCACTCGCACTTTGGCTGACGCGATCAAAGCTCCTTGCACGAACTCTGGTCTTTTCTTGCACTAGCGTGAAGAGATCTGTTCGTATGCCAAACAAGGGATCTGGTGCCGTTATTTGATTTGATTTCTCTTGGTTACGGGTAACGTAGCAGTTGGGGGGTTTCTGGATAGAGAACTCCAAAAAAGAGTATCTGGGTCTATAAAATGATCAAGGAACATTTCTCGTCTATAGTTTCGGTGTTAAATCGAGTAGCGTAAGACAATTTTGCTACATCTCTTCACTTCACCTGACCTGCTTTTAAAGCCACCATACTTATGCATAAAACTGTTGAATATTTGAATTTGAAAATACATGGCGTGGAGCAGATAATTTTAGGAAAACTTGGAATCTGACATTAAACTTGGTAGCTGGTGTTAGATCGCAGTCGGTTTCAAAACACAATTGCTTTTTTAAACTTATGTTGTGAATAAAATCAAACACACATTATGGAAAACCATCCATTTCGAAATTTAAGAGAATCGTCTGAGTCTCGCAAGTGAAGTGAATTCGAGCTTTGCATTATGAATTGTTTGCTTTCCTTTTCTGATTACGTTCTTCAATCTGCCTGCTCACTTATCGGCTGTAGCATCGTGCGGTCACCGTATGACCAGTTTCCAGGTATTCAAAAGAAAGCACGCCTTTCATGTCCCACCAGATACGCAGGTGAACCATCCTTAATAGGGCGTTGGGTTTTGCGTCAACGCACTGTGTATGACATGGATATATTCACGGCTTTTCACATTCATGATTCGCATCAATTATGCTACAATTTTTCGCAAGAAGGGCTTTTTGTTGCCGACGAGCAAGCAGTGAAATACATGTGTTCATAGGTTAAGCTTGTAAGTGTACTGTCAACACGTGTTGGATGAACCAACTTCCAGGTTTTGGGATTTTACAATTCTAGTGCACATGCTTGATAAAATCGCTGTTTGCATGTCTCCAACTGAACTGCAAGCTGTTGTTGCATTTGCGTTAAGTCTTCGTATATTGGTAGAGCTTAGGATTCCGCATTTTCGAACTTTCAAGAATGTCACGGACGAATCTGGTCAGCAAAATCGAAATCACCTCGTCCAAAACATTTGTACAAATAAATACATGTTTCACAAAACACAACGTTAGCACCAAGCACACTACAAATTAACTGCCATGCTTCGGAAACTCTTGTTTCCTGTTGAAATCGCGTAGAGTGCAGTGCCATCAAATGTACACTTGATCAGCTGCCTTCGTTAACAACTGAAATAAAATGCGAACTGCACTGAAGAAATTTAAAAACCGAAATGTGTGCAGTGGTTTGAAGAGAAAGACATTGTCATCTCATCAGGAAATTTACTCAGTAATTATTTTACTGCATGCTGTTAAATCTGTGGTTGCCAATTTTTAAATCTCGTTCCGATGTTTGCAATTTTGCAAAGCTTGTTAATCCACATTTGCACAGATTTGTCTTTTACTTGTCATTTATACACTCAACCACACGAACAACGGTTAAAACAGAGAAAAAATTTGCACAGCCAAAAAAATTTTCGTAGTTTCGGAACAACCACCTCTTACACCACACATATTGAGAAAAATTGTCATTGCTAATTCAATTCATACCAACTCTGCCATATTTTTTTTTGCAAAACCGAAAGCACAGCATTACTAATAGTCTTCTTCGCAATTGATTTTGTTTATTTATTATGCTGTCAGCATTAAAATAATAAAATAACACTGCGCCTCGCTCCAATTTCGAACAATAAATAAGTTTAAATTCGCAAAGCTGCACCATGGTTTTCTACCTAAGAATTTCAATATTCCACCTTGAGGCAAATCATTCAGTTTTTATCATGAATTAACTGCTTATCTGCTACTTTTTGATTTATGTTATTCAAATGTAGAAGTAAGGTAGAAATAAGAACATTATGCATTTAGTTACTGTTCTTTGTGAAAATCCCGCCTCGTATGCATTACTTGAATTGTTGTCAGCAAAGAATATTTGTGTTAAGCGTATTCTTACCAGACGCTTACGACTGAGCTCATGGTGTTTCTTCTTTTTAGTATATTGGCCTGACAGAGGATTCAACACGGCCCTACTCCTTCGCCTCTGGAACTTGTATGCTGTTTGCGAATTCTCATCGTCGCAACCAGAGGAACGTGAAGACGACGACGAAGGGGAGGTGATAAAGGTCTCGGTTGCCTGAAGGAAGCACCCGTTCCGACTGGCGTTTAGTGACTAGAGCCGCAGCTGTCACCGTGGACGCCAATCCACATGACAATGGGCTCATTACATTGCCTGGAAAATGCATTCACAGCTGCCACTTATATGTTCTTTGGCGTGGCATTCTCAATTCTCACTGTCAACTTGAGGTGGCACGTTTTGTACCTTAAAGTGGCAACCAAAGTAGTCTCTGCAGATGCTACTTAAAACATTAATTGGACTGCTTGCATGAATCTACAATTATCTCAGTATTGTTTATTCAGACCTGAATACTACCATCTCCTTGAAATACCATCAGAACTTCTATTTCCAAAAGCAAAATGTCACGTTTTGGCCAACATGCCGATGTGTTACCTTTCTATACGGGTGCATTGCAAAGTCGATTACCGATGGATTGTCTAATCAAAGCTACTTCCACTTGCACTTAAAGAAGTCCAATTTGTATAACAATTCCTAACTGGAAGAATGACGTGAGTCATGGCCTAAATTCCAACGTCCTGTTACTGCCGTCGTGTCGCCATTCGTGTTCCATATTCACACTCAGCAATGAACAAAATGACATATTTGTCGATGTTAGTTTATCAGACAAAATCAAACAAAATATGTTCAAAACCAGCGAAATAAAAGTATAGAAACTTGGGAAACAATTTGTTTACTGTTCGCGGAATTCAAATACGGCGTACTTTGGCATCGTAATTAGACATCTAAATTAGTTAACTGAATGCTACCTGCTAAGCCTTACATGTTTGCAGCTAATCTGTCTCACTAGGATGTTGAGAACAGACGAATTATCTCAGAAAGTACTTTTCGTCTAGCACAGACAACTAATTAACTTACTTCAGTGTATGGAATGTGTGCTGTGGCACTTGAGGTGGATCACAAACAGGCACACCCAACACACCCTGCGATTGATCAATTTACTGCCACCACATTGTGCGACCTCAACCACCAGTCGTCATTTTGAGCTGAGATGTGGCAGTGATTGTCACAACCGAATAGGTGTCTCTTTTTGCTTCAAATATGCATGTTACCACTATCCCGAAGGCAAAATTTTCTCATGTTGAAGTGATGCATTGTTTGCTTAATTAAGGCGATCAGTAGAAACTGGGAATTTATATGACACCAGGGCACCCAAATTGGCTTCGCGACCTTGTGGTTTGAATCATGCTGATTCAGCATTCCATGAACGCTAGAAGGAAGCAACTGCGTCAATTTGGTCTTGCAAGCTGTCAATGCATACAGCGTTTTGCTGACTGAGGCGAGATGGCTAGAGGCTACCGCTTCATTCCGTACTTCTTGAGAGATCCATCCGTCAATTAGTTCTGCCAATGTTTTTAATGTTGTGTCAGATCTGTGCATCAAGTTTATGGCATTAGTGTTAACCGGGAGGCATTGAGGCCAAAAATGCCGCGGGATTGAGTCATCGACCTTGTTACCTCCAGGCAGATGGCTCACTGACTGAGAAGTTGGAATGGAGGCCCGTCACCTAGTGCAATAGCAGAAAGGAGGTGTCGATGACGCGCCACGTTGGAGCTGCTTGTTCGTGCATGAACAACATCGTTCAGGTCGTCGTATAGGTCTAGAAGTGACAGGAATTTAATCGAGTCAACATCCTTTATAGCAGCATCTCATTGTCGTTGAGAAACGATATGTGAGTACTTGGAGCACTGGATGCTATTTTCAGGCTTCGAAATGCAGCCTAAATTCGTGTTGGGACTGTAGGACAAAAAGACGACCAACCGGGTTTGTCAGAACGATAGTGTACAGCAGTAGGTTCAGCCATTGCCAACGGAAAAGAAGGATGTCATACACTTGACAGAAATTACTCATCAATGAAGTCAAAAATAGAGTGGTTTCATTTGACGGTTTTTGCAAGAAGCAGTGAATTTGTTAGCACTGCCCTACAGCCCTTACTAACCCTGGAAAGTGAGGCGAAACAGGTGACAGGTCAACCAAGTGTCGCTTTTTTGCAGTCAGTGAGTGTTATCGGCGTAGATTGACACAGTGGCTTCAGCGTGGTTCAAGACAAAATGACGAGGCCCACAACACGCTCAAACGTGCCTGCCTTGTCTCGGTTTGAAGGCGCTTAGAAGCAGTTAAATGCAAGAGTCGTGATCTGGTTTTGGTAAACACCACGTGGCAAGTTTGCGGAACTTACTGCAATACACCACATACTAGTGGAATTTGTCGATTTGTGATATCGATGTATTACTGCAAAAAACACGATCAAACCGATGCGTGTGCAATTAACCACCAGGCGTCAGTCAGCGGCATGCGTGATTGGAAATGTTGCAAGCGTGAAGAAGGCATTTTGTCGGTTTTGCATTTCGTGGTGAAGCCAATTTCGTCGATTTCAGGTACCCGGTGCAGATGTTACGACAGGCTAACAGAATGCACCTTATCAAATCCAAAAGAGATTTAGCCTGTTTGGCTGTGCAAAACGGCAAATATTTGCTCCAGACACACTTTGTACTCAGAAGAACACCACACGATACATTACTTTAATGCCTATTGGCATCAGATGAAACACAGGCAGTGCGGCTCTAGCAGTGTTAAGCTTTATGTGGAAGTGTTTGTTTGGTGACTAAACTGCTGCAGAGTCCTGTGGGTAGTTTAGTGTAATTTGACAATATTAGAGAGCCGTCTAGCACTAAACCAATACATTTTGCAAAAATTCATTTACTGAAATCGTCTCTTGCAGATACGATGGTGGATTCCACGAATTGAGAATGAGAAATCGGCAAGTGTAGAAAACACCACATGAACAAATTCACAAGTGTGATCTCAACTCAAACTTGAACTGCTTAAAATCCGACAAGTGTTACTCTCAATGGTCTGCTTACGCTTAGCCTAGTTGGGTTAGCGTCAACAATGCAGTAATGAATAAGCTGATAGTCGACCGCCAACACGAGCGGGCTGTGCGTGATTGGCGCTCGCAGCATTCGATTTCTATCACGGGAGGACGCTACTGGATTAAGCACACAAAATAACTACAATACAATCCACTCAACCTTTCTGATTCTGTTCTCTGTCGCGCACTTAATTGCATCTTAGCCCTGGTATTATTATGCTAGGGGGTGCCAGTGTTGGAACATTTGCAGCAGATGCAAACATTTCTTTTTGTGGGCCTAATGCAGTTTAGTATCATTCTATAGAATCTAAATATCAAATTCTTAATGAACACGATATATTTAGGGATTAACATACGCAAGGCGTTTAAATTCTACTAAAAACGCATAAATACCATGCTTGTTTAGAAAGCCAGCATTCCAATGGTAAGAAGGAATAAGTTGGTGCTCTATATAATTTCATAGTAATAAGACGAACCAACTTGGCTTTCCAAAAATCTTCAGAGTGTTCTTACAAGACCTGCGTGAGTGCCAAGTCAATCAACTCGTGAAAAAATAATATCATATAATTTCGTTTGTATCTCATGAAGTGACGTGAATTTTTAGCAACTTGAATGTAATGTCGTCTGCTTTCCAACAGAAAACGCGTGTTATTTTAGTCGTGTGGCAGGCAAGTGGACGCTGTCTGCCTGACCAACAAAGGCAGAAAGTGAGCCATGTCTTGGTCTGCTAGTGGCTTTCAAGTACGTTAAGTGTCTGTGGGTTCTACAATTGGCGAATTTCGTTTGGGATGAAAATGTCGTGAAAGCAAACTTACACGTTAGTCATTCACAGGTTGGCCAATTGCCACCTATACGACCTGATTGCATTGATATTTCTACGTAGTGCCAATTGTTCAACCAGCGGCAAGATGAGCTGTATCCGCAAACATTTAGTGATGTGTTTGTTGGGAATTACGTCTGAGTACAAGTATACTTGTGCATTTTTCAAGTAATCATAAGCCGCATTTGCCATGGGTGCCCTATAATCGAAAAGAAAGTGAGGCAATTGAATACATTTTAGATTGTGACTGACGCTTTTTCCGGCGGAAGGCCATGCATACTTGCTCTCCGAAAAAGGCAGTAGGGTTTTCTCAATGTAAAACACATCCAGCAGACAAGAGGACTCATCTTGTGAGGCAGCGAATTTGTAATGCGTCGAGTGGGATAAGCAGTGATCCCTCAGTGTGCTGTGGCTCTCACTGCCTTTCATAATTGCTGCATTCCACCGGAATCGAGAGGTATCTGCGTTTACGCAAACAGGCATGAATCATCGAGCCTGCAACGTGACATCCAAAGTTAGATGCATGAAATGTGCTGCAAACACAATACAACATTTTTTTGAGTGACAAGCAGGAGGTAGGCTTGAATCCTCGGATAGCACAATTGTTGAAAATGAAGAATAATACCTCTTAAAGTTAAATTACGAAATTTGAGATGACACTGTCACTGCTGATTCCAATGTACTCAGTGATTTACAGAAGTAGCTTCATAGGACATCAGGAAATTTCGTTAAACTACCGTTTAGTGGACCGTTAAAGAGTTTGTCGGCGAAAGATCCGCTTAATATTGACACTAAATACAGGCACAAGCAGAGTAGCAGATCCGAGCAGCACCAGTCATTTATGTGGGGATTTTCTGAAATCTTCGCACATTTCTTTCCAATCTAGGTGTGGTGTTAAACACTCCAGCCCTGTCTCTGAATGGTAAGCTTGATCCTCTTATTGGGGCCACCACACCAGAATATTCTCGCACAATGATTGTAGTGAATGCACTTCCTTCAATTTGCATTCAAATATATGACAGAATGTCAAAGGACATATTCTCCACATGACTATCTATCCCAGTGCTCATCGGTGGCACTTGCTCTTAGGTGCACTTGACAGGTGTTGCTAGGGCAGCACACACGACTGGTTGGGGTATCGGAAGGAGATTTGTACAAGCCAAACTTAACTGGATTCTGGTTCCAGGTCAAGTTGCGTATCAGTTTGTAAAAGGAAGAAACGTGACATTATTACACCACACCTCAGGTGGGATTAATTGGAAGACGTTTGTACACAGAGTGGTCAAGTTCTTGGTGTGTCGGCACTGTTCTACACACCTTATCTGCGCCCACACAAAATTGCTCATATCAGTCAATCATTAACTGGAGATTGCAAAATAAAAGCGGTCGAATATGAGCAAACGTTAGGATCAGAGGCACGTATTTATAACACATGTTGTCTTTTAGAACTAGTTGCATATCTAAGCTCTTCTTGTTGACATGAATAGCAGTGGTTTAATTTTAATTAAACCACTACACTAGGACAAATGATGCTCATATATACTTAACAAGACCGTCTCCGGATCGCGTGTCTTTCATGTGTAATTGATATTTGTTTTCTGCTTAAAGTCGTCAGCAAATCCAGTTTAGCGGCAACATCTGGTGATGATATTCCCAACGGTCGTGAGCCACCTGCTGCCACTTCATGTACAGCACAACTAACGCACGTTTTGTCTCGATTAACAGATTAGATATGGCTTCGATTAGCTAGACATGGAGCTATGGCACGTCAGAAATGGGTCTGGTTTTCGCAACCAGTAGGATTTCCCATCAGCAGTTCTACTTTTGGTGACTGCAAGGCTAATGTGATTTGTGTGACAGCAATTACATTTTCGGATAAAGCGTATGCCTGTAAGAGTCGTTTTCTTGAAACAGCACTAATTACCGTAGAGGATTGTCGGCCTGTCATTAAACATCTGCACATTTTTCAGATTGTAGTAGTTGAGTTGAACATTCATCTGTGGCAGTTTGGAACAATTTTAGGCACAAACGTACTAAAGTGATTTCTCTCCTGTGGCAGTTTTATTCTATCGAATATTGCAAGTCTTCTCTTTGCTATTATTTTGCAAAACACTAATTATTAAGAAAACTAACCTGTACACAAAATCTGATTGGACCAAATCGCGAATCCCTGAGACGCAGAGTGCAGGCGAAGCCAATCACATCAAGGCTAACGTGATTGGTCAAATCGCCTGTCGCAGTAGCCACTGACGCACCGTGACCAAATCACTTTAAGATAATCGTGTACAATCCAATGCGAATTTAGTAACTGACATCGCCTTGGTACTACTGTAAGTCATAAGAATAGTCCCTTTCAGTAAAAATTATTGGCCTGGATTTACAAGATGCTAGGCGTTCACACATCCTGCGCGCTTCAATGATTGTCAGAACATGCCTCAAAGGAAAGGCTTACTTGCTCCCCAGAATACATTCCTGGATACAATTGCAACACGATTTGACGACAAATTGCATTCAAATATGTGCCGGAATTACAAACGGCATATTCTCCACATAACTATCTATCCGAGTTCTCACTGGTGGCATCTGCTCTTCAGCCGATTTGACAGGTGTTGCTAGAGCAGCACACACAACCGATTGGGGCATTGGAAGAAAAGTCATACAAGCCAAATTGTAGCGGGTCCTGGTTCTAGATTTAGGTGTGCATCAGTTTGTAAAAGGGAGAAATGTAACATGCTAATACCACGTCTCAGGTGGAATTAATTAACTGGTTCACAACTGTACACAGGGTGTGCAAGTTCTTAGGGTGTCGGCACTGTTCTACACACCGTGGCTGCGCCCACACAAAATCAATCATGTCAGTTAATCATTAACTGAAGATTGCAAAATCAAAACTATCCAACGTTACCAAAAAACCTGCTGCGTATTATATAAGCGCAGTAGTTGGGTTAAACATGCACCTGCAGTAGCTTTGAACGAATTTTGAGCACAAAACTACTAAAGGAACCCTCCAATTTGTAAATTTTCGTAACATCCCATCAGTTGTACTAGTATTCGATTCGACGCACGGATTGCCCACTGTTAGTAGTATACAATACCACATTCAAGAATTAGTTCACAAGCCAGTGCCAACGTCGGTGATAGAAGGATTTACTTCTAAATAAACTAATTGAGAAACCATCAATAAGTCACGAATCAAGTGAAGGTTCTAATTATGCAAGCACCAGGGAATTGCTCTTTCATTTGAATCTAAGTCAAGCATATTCTGCACAATTTCTAATACTCTATCTCTCTCCTTTGATATTTCATTTCTATCGAATATTACAAGTGTTCTCTTTGCTATTATTTTGCATAACAGTAATTATCAAGAAACATAGCCTGAACATAAAATCTGATTGGACCAAATCGCGAATCCATGAGACTCAGAGATGCAGGCAAAGCCAATCACATCAAGACTAACGTGATTGGTCAAAACGCTTGTCGCAGTAGCCACTGACGCGCTGTGACCCAACCACTTTAAGATAATCGAGTACAATCCAATGCAAATTCACTAAATGCCATCGTCTTGGTGCTTCGGTAAAATATAGGAACACTCCCTTTCGCTCACAATTATAGGCCTGGACTTACAAGAATGAAGGCGTACTCACGTTCTGCGTGCTTCGATGATTTTCAGAACATGCCTCAAAGGAAAGGCCTACTTGCTCATAAAATATATTCCTGGATGCAATTGCAACACGATTTGACCAAAATCTAATATATTAATGGTAATTTGATCAATTTTCATTCAACTTATAAGCAGCATGTCCAGCATGCCTTAAGTCAGATGTCATGTCGGTCAGCGTGACATTTCAATGAAGAAAGCGCTTTATTCAGCAGTTATTGACGCAGTTGAATTCGAGGTAATTATAAGGTGTAAAACCTAAGTTGTGCAGAGTTGTACTTCGATACTAAATCTATTCACTTAAAATGGAAATATTTCCGGGGTTTTTTTGTGGTTTTGATAGGTTCAGACGCGAGGTTACAGGATACTGAACGGTAATTCTTCTTGGGCTGAATAACCTCTCAAGATGGAAGATTTTACGATGGTAACTGGTAAACGGCACACACGATTACAATGCAATTTATGCGAATTCCAAAAGGATTAAGTGCTTCTAAAGCACGCAAATCAGTTTGTAGTGTGCTTGGTGCCGACGTTGTGTCCCACGAAGCGTGCAATTAGTAGTACTAAGACTAGTGCTCAGTTGTGAAAAGACCTCAAGATACATCTCCGAGGCGCGTTGCAAAAGTGTGAACTAAAAATGTGGAGAGGCCGCCATCAGTGTCAAGGTGGGAGCATTTCGAATACTTACCAGTCGCCCGTAGCAAAATTATTCAGAAAGTGTAATTTCCTAATTGGAACAGATCGCTAAAATCAGTGTGATCCACCAACAACCCCGCACTGCATTACGTTTGTTTCACTACACTCTTCCAACCTATCTTTCTCGTCGTTTATTAGAAAATAATTATTTTCAATTCAACCTCACTCAATCAGTTTTTACGAGAAGCGTGTTTAAGTCATTACAAACTTCATTTAATTTAATTCGATGTCAATACCAGTCAAACGATCGTTGTAAGCACCTCCAATTGCAAGAAGGCTGTTTATGCAGCACTGCAAGTTGTAGGAAGGCAACGTTTTGAATGGTGAAAATCGGTTCCCATGTAAACGACTCAAGTGTCAACACCTGAGGTAAAAAAATGGGTAAGAGGATCCGTCGTTCATGTTTGGAAATGAATTGTTAAATTTGCTGTGCTCACACTAGATTCTGATGCTGCAACAAATTCATGAACATTTCCGTCACGATCTAAACAAAACGAGAAAATCGGTTGAAGTTGCAGTGCATTATGGAATTGCG